CCCCCCCCCCCACATGCTACCCCAGTTTGGTGACTGGTGCCTCCTGGGTCTGGGGTGGCACCCGGGGTCCCCCTGTGGCTGATTGCTGAGCTGGGAGGAGGCGCAGGGGGGCCCCCCCGTGCGCTCCCTGGTAGACCCGGAAGTGGACCGGAAGTACTTCCAGCCCACTTCTGGGTTCGCCACCAAGCATGCGGGGGCCCCCCCCCGCACTCCTGTGGGACGCTCCATCTGTTCCAGCATCACAGCGTTCATGAGCCGTGCCTGGTACCTCGAGGTATGTCGAAAAAACATTTAAAGCTGTGTCTGTAGCTAAATCGCTGATTCTCCAAATTGGCATCGAATCTGCAGGTTCGGATTCAGCTGAATCGAATTGGGGACAGTGATCTGAATCAATTAATCAAATCAGTGTTCCTGATTCGGGCCAAATCCAAATCTGAATCGAATAGGGCCCGTTTTGCACACCATAATACATGCTCTCAAGGCTGCTATCTCTTATGGAACTAATGAGAAACTCTGAACCTGAACCATTCAGGAGAGGACGCATCAACTAATTTGTAGTATAACTGACTGCATACTGGAATTCCCTGAGAAAACTTTTGAGATGATAGATTTTTCAAAGATTTCTCCAAACGCCATAAATAATCCATTTAACTTTCTAAAAATTTAATTTTATCCAAATAGTAGATAATTTCAGTACAAAACACATAACCTTACCTCCCCATATGATGATGGGAGGTCTGAAAGCATTGATTTATGAGTTGACGGAAGTAAAGTTTTTTTGTCAGAAGTTTTAAGTAAAATGTATTGGGGCATAGTGTACAGCAACTCTATTTGACAGGCTACATTGTGAAACTAAGAGCAGAAAAAAAAAAGATGAGACGGTAGCTATTGTATAACTGGCTGCTGCTAAATATCTATATAAAAAGATAAAGTCTTATGCTAAAATGATTACCAGCCATACACTGGCGTGGCAGATTGCTCAGGAACTTAGTCTGCAGTGGAACGGCAAAGGGCAAATGTTCTGTGACTTGCACAAAAAGAAGGAAACATGACTGCACTCTGTCTAGCTTGCATATTTTTGTAACTGTTGAGATGTGATATGCAAATAAGTGACCAGTGCAAATCCTACATCACTAATGGGCAAACATACATTATATCACAGGCTGTAGATAAGAATAATAATTTACTGGGTCAGATGATTAGGTCCCTCTAGCCCTGTATCCTGTCCCTCTCAGTGGGAAATAATAGATGCTAAGGGGAAGGGCAAACAGGGCATGTGCCCCCTGGTTCTCTTCTGCTAAAGCTTCTAGCTTTTGAGGTTTAGGAAGTTCTGATTCAGAAAAAACACTTCTGCCTCTGATGTTCTTTCTATGTGGTGCCCCCAGAGCTGTAGCAGTTTATTCTGCCACATTTCTCACATTCAGGCAGTAATGAGACAGCCCACCTGGGATGTGACAGCCAGCTTAATTTTAGCATCTTTCCAGAAACAGAGAGGTCCTGACCAAAGACAAACTAGAGCATCTCTAGATAAACCAGGGAAACAAGGTTCTTTGTTTAGGACTACATTGTGCTATAAAAAATGTACTTTTTCCAAGGTTGCATCAGGTTATAATGGTGAACCCTTCCCATTCACTTCTTTAGAAGGTGCAGCAGTAACCATTGACACACAAGGAAGACTGGAAGGGAACAATGTGGGAGCAGCCTCACCACTGCAATGTCTGTAGGGCAAGAATGTGATATGTTACTGATCCTAAGGTAGCAGTGCTTGCTGATGGGGATGGTTACTGCAGCTATAAAATTACAGTATTAAGTCCAATATAAATAGTTTTTCAACAAGATGAGCTATTTGGGGGGGGGGGGGGGGGTCAGTATGCTTCATCTATATAACCCTGGTGCTTATAGTAAGAAATGGCTGGGTGTAAGGCTAATATTTTAAGCATTATGTAAAAATAACTTTTGTTGAAAGCAAGGAAATTCCAGGGTCTCTTTCACAGGTTACCACTGACTTCTAATGAAGTTCTATAAATATATACTTTGGTGGGGGAGGGGATTTTATATATTTTTTTCTAACAGCCATAGTAGATATAATTTGATCAAGAAAGAGAGGTTTAAGAAGGCAGCTGAGTGCCTGTGGTAGTGGTGGCTCCTAGCTGTGGTGCTGGTGGCATAGTTGTGCAGCTGCAATGGCAGCTCTTATTTTCGTGCCCTCCCCCAAGTATGTATCTGTGGCTGCTGCCCAGGTTGCCTCACCTAAGTTACACTACTGCAAGAAAGCTTGTAGGCTCCTGATCATTTTGAAGATATGTGAGTTTAATGTTTTAAAACTATTTGTATTTCAGAGCTGAAGAAAGACCAGTTAAGAAAAGAAAACTGCAGAGCTGCAGTTTCCAAAAGAAGAAGCTAAAATTAATGGAAGCCATGTTGGAAGAACAAAAGAAATTAAGCAGAGCTATGGAAGAAACCTGTAGAGAGGTGCGCAGGATTTTGGATCAGCAAAACATCATTCAAGTTCAAAGCTTACAGCTACAGGAAAGAATGATGAACCTATTGGAGAAAATGATTTCCAAGTCTAATGTGTAGGATTTTTGTCCATGCTGCTCAAAGTATTAATATTATAGAAATCCCCTAATGCATACCTTATGAGTGTTGGTTGCCATCTTCCCAGGTTTTCCATGAAAAGTAAAATCTTAGAGTAATCCTAGTTAATTCAGGGTGAGAATTATCCAGAGCCTTGTGGAGTTAATAAGGATTAGGAAACCGGTGCAATATATGCCTAAGTTCAACTATTTTTGTACTGAAAGGTTAAGGAATGAGTAGCTCTGGGAAACAATTTTTTTCCTGTACTATTTATGCTTAGGTCAGCTCTTAATTTACAAGCAGCATTGTTGCCTACAGGTTCACACCAAGGACTGTCAACCTGACCTATTGTAGAACAACAAAATAGTATATTTTCCACATAGAGTAAGTCAGGGGTCTGCACTGTTTTTGGGCAGAGTGCCAAAAACACCTGCAACCTTGACTTGTAAGATTTTGGTGTGCTAGGAGCGGATGTCAGGGGAGCTGCAAGGGCCCGATCCTTGTTGTGGCACTGCAGCTTCAGTCCCTTTCCCAACATCTGCCCTGAGGCATGCATGCCAAGGAAAATACCTTTGTGCCATGCTCTGGCACCCATGCCAGGGGTTGCCTACCCCAGCAACTAAATGCATCTCTGACTTTGCTGAAGGCAATCCAGTTTTGACATATAAGCAGTGGCTCTGCAGTGTGAACTCTGGTTCTTGTGAAGAGCTAGCTGAGACTATGAAACATAATTTTAAATTTCATGCCTGATATAAATAGTACCCTAAAACTGAAATATGAAATCATCTACTCAAATACACTTTTGATAAAAATAGTAACATAAAACTACTATATCCTGAATACTCAACTGTATTGAAAATACTTGAAGTTGATTTTGATATTAAATGTATAATTTTTTTCATTATTAACTGGAATTTGTTGACTTTATGAAAAAACAACAATTAAAACATTTCATTTATTCTCCATCACAAAAGAAAAATATTATATTGTATGTATATAAATATATATATCAACTGAAATAAAGAAAAGGCGAACCTTATTTATTATTTACCAGTCATCTAGTGTACTTGAGAATGTGCAAAATATTGCAGGATGCAACCAATGCTTTGATGAGTTTATATTCTAGAGTGCAATGCAGAGATACAATACACTGCATAATCCAAATATGTGACTGTCTCAAGTTGGTGCAGTATTTGTATTTTTCAGTACTTTTCTAGATCTTTTTGTTGGTGTAGTTATTTTGATAGAAGTAGTCTGTATGTTTTATGGACTGGTTTGATGATAGAAATGGTGGTCAGCATTCACATACCACAAGAGGGAGCTGAAATCATATCAAGGATGTTGAAGCTGTTAAGACGAAGTCCAAGCATTGTTCTTGTTAATTGTCTTATGCAGTACTGCATTAAAATAGCCTTTGAGAGTAGCTGAGCTGCCTACAAAAGCTCACGTATTTCTAAAAGAGTTGGTGCCACCACGCCCTGCTTTCCGCCTGCCTTTGCAAAGCAAGAATGCTCATCTAAGGGCAGATTAGACACTCGTAAGAAACTAAAATGAAAATTTGTGGCACTTCAGAATTTAGCTATTCTGGTGAGGTAGGAAACTACTTATGTCCATGATAGATACAGGGAAGCGAAGGGGCAGATTTGTCCTTCACAAACAGTGGTTTTTTAATGATTAACGCTTATTCTAACTATAAGCTACATTCTCTCTCCAAATTTTGTTCTTGAATTCATGTTTGCATTTCCATTTTTATTTAGTATAGAGCTAGCCTAACTATGAATTTTATTATTCTATTATAAACACCCTTGGGAGATGAAGTTGTAGTAATGCTTACTTCAAAGAGTAATGCTTATTTACATCAAATGTATCCTGGGCATGCCTCTAAAAATTAAGCTGTTGTTCAATTTTGAGAAATGACTGTTCTTCAGTAGTGCTGAGCTGATGTTATTGCCATAATGGTACAGGAGATAGGCAAGAGGCTAGAATTCTTGTGGGTGATATCTTGCATTGGACCAACTATATGGTTGATATAGGCATAGGCAAGCTTTTGAATATCACAGTACCCTTCTTCCTCATCCTGATACTAAAAGCCTGGTGGCCCTTGACCAACCCCCTCCCCCCCCCCCTTTATCAGGTCAGAGAAGTCTTGGGGGTGGACATGCAATGGAAGAGGTTCCTGAAGAACCAGAACCTTTGATCTTAGGACTTCTCTGTTCTGCAAGATGACTGCCTAAATTTGGATAGACCTAGAAATGAACATATCACCGTCCAATGCCAGTGGCCACAGGTCAGAGTCAAAAAGATGCAGGAACTAGCTCTGCTCAAAGTCATAAAGGCAAGAAACTCTTTGATACCTTTATCAGATAAGGGGCTAGGGCAGGGGTGGGCAAAATATGATCTGCAGGCCAGATCTGGCCCTACAACTGCTTGTATCTGACCCATGGCTGGGCAGCCGCTAACTCATGGGATCTGGCCTGCCAGTGGCTCTGGCCACCATGTGGTGCCAGGTGGGCAGGCAGGGCTGTTTCTGCCATGCCAGATGAGCAGGCAGGACCACTTCTGCGCAGTGCTGACACAACCGCATCAGCTGTAGACCTGGGTGGAGGCCCGTATTCCCACCCAGAACCTGCTGGGCATGTCCATAGCTGATGCCAGCTCCTAGCCAGGGCTGCTTCTGCTGCAATGAGCAGGTGGTGGCATAAACTGTAGATGGGGCCAGCAGGTTCCATGTAAGGGATGGAATCAGTGCATGCTACAGCTCCAGGGAGAAGGGGGAAAGAGAGGATGGGGATCAGGGTGTACTACAGTTCCAGGGAAGGGGGGAGGGAAGGGAGAGAGATAGATGTGACCCTTGAAAGGACACCAAAACTCATGAAATAGTCTTCCAGCCAAAATAATTGCCTACTCTTGGGCTAGAGCTTTCATCAAAGTGGATGGCGCCATTTGAATCTGATACTTTGCTTGTGACGCCAGTAATCCAGAACACACAACCTCTTGTCTGCCTGCACCAAGGCATTCTGCACACAGCAGCACGTGGTATTGCAGACCTCACAGTGCCTTTTCTCATTGGCACTATATGGTTGTGTACCCCAGTGGCATAGTCAGAAGCCCCAGTACTGCCACAGGTTCAGTCCTTGGTACTGTTGGATCTGCTTGTTTGGAGTGCCAGTTAATTAGTGCCAGCACTAATTCCAGTGCTGTAACACTATATGCTCATAAAAAGACAGACCCTGATCACATTGAAGACTATGTTACCACTCAAATGCCTACCAGCACCAGTATGGCTAGTTTTGGCTTGGGAGCTTTCAACAGCTTCTTCCAAGTACAGAGGGACATTTGTCCTCCTGATCCCAGGATCAGGATCACTTTTTTCTCTTTGAGCCACTGTGGCCATTCAGTCCCTTTAGCAGAAAATGGAAATTCGAAAGAACATTTGTCTGGGGGTGGGGGCAATCTTATTCAAGCAACTTCAGCAACTTCAGGAATTTCATTTCCTCAAAGGAGACATTAGAATAATCACACTCCCTAGCTGACATACTGTACCAGCTGGATCCTACAAGACTGGCCTTACCCATTCATGAGGTGACTGTGGATTGAGCCAAGATGATACAGCAAACTCCAGCCTATTGCCACTGCAGTGCCAAGAGAACAGATACAAGCGACAAAAGTCCCTCCAGTGGTATCAAATGATTGTGTGCACCTCCTAATGTTCCTTCTCTAGTTGTGATGGCAGCAAATGAAAATATAAGACTGAATGAGGAAAGAGAAAATAGGAGACCGGACTCTTCTGTGATTCTCCAGTTCAAGACTGCTACTACCAGGTTTTCCCTGACCCAAAATGATTTTTATGTTTATGGGAAGATTGCAGACCTGGTGGGGTCTCTTGACCCTGGTATCTCTGATCACAGAGGGTCAGCTAGTGGCAAAGAAGGCTCCTCAGATAGGTCTGGATGATGCAGCTGATGCTGGAGCTAGATCTATGGCTTTTGCAGTTGTAATGCACAGATATTCTTGGTTGCAGGGTTTTGGTTTTTGGAGGGTTCTACTTTTCCAGAGCGCCAGGCTACTGTGGAAGACCGGCCTTTGAGGATTTAGGAGTGTTTATTTTTGTAAGCCTACTTCATAGATGTGTGTGTGTGTGTGTGTGTGTGTGTGTGTAGGTGTGTGTGTGTGTGTGTGTGTGTGTGTAGGTGTGTGTGTGTGTGTGTGTGTGTGTGTAGGTGTGTGTGTGTGTGTGTGTGTGTGTGTAGGTGTGTGTGTGTGTGTGTGTGTGTGTGTAGGTGTGTGTGTGTGTGTGTGTGTGTGTGTGTGTGTTAATACATGCATGTTTTGATCATGTGCTCTGTTCCACTGTGGATCCACTTTGCATGTCCTCCTTAGGTATACAGGAGGAGAAGGTCCCGTGACAGTTGGGAGAGGAGGGTCCCCTGAAGGGCCAAGGAAAAAAAGCTTCATGGCTGTCACTGAAGAGCCTGGAGAGGCCAAGGGGTCTTACAATGGGCATTCTTGCAGAGGCTGGTAAACGCTCAGTGGTAAGAGAAAGGGAGAGCTGTATCACTAGCGAGACCCCAAGCTGGTATCCAAAAGGGGGCATCCTCAGCAGTGACCCCAAGCAGCAGGCAGCATACCTCAGCTGACCCCAGTAGTGCTGACAGAGCAGCAGTTGGTCAACCTAAGGGCAAGACACAGAAGAGCAGTGACTTCGAAAAGTGGCGAGCAGCATGCTTCAGCACTTCACAGAATGATGGCAGAAGTAGCATCCCTGAGTGGTGAGATGTGGCACAGTATGCAGTGATCCCAAGCAGAAACCAGTGGATAGAAATCTTCTCCAGTGAACCAAAGAAACTCTTCTTCCCCAACTTTTCCTGAATGAGGCAGCAATCCCACCTCCCAGGGTGGGAGTAGTTCTCAAAGAAACTGACACCAAAAGACCAAGAGGGCTTGTTGTTTAGGGCTGTTTGTTACTTGGGGATTTTCTTCTGTTTGGAGTATTTTGGGTTATTTAATAAGTGGGGCATTTCTATACTTGTTATGTTTGATAAGGTTATTTTCTTGTCCCCCATTAAATGTTTATATACTGTTGGTATCCAAATTGCTTGTGAGTAGGGAAGTTCTTTTTTTAGGACCCCTAGTTGAGATGAAATTTTCCTAGGTTTCTGGGTGGGGCCTCGAGTCAAAACCACTTAAATTTGAGCCCAGATCTTATTCTGCAATTAGGGCCCAGCTGAAGGGCTACATTTTTAAGACTGATGAGTTTCTGCACACCTTACAAGGTTCTAAAGCAGGGGTGGGCAAATGTTTTGGCTGGAGGGCCACTTAATGAGTTTTGGTGAGCTGTTGAGGGGCGCAAGGGTAGCCTGCCCCTTGACTGGTGCCCTGCCCCCTGGTCGCCATCTTGGGACTGGAAATCCCATCCCTTAACCCCTGATCTTTGCCACTGGAAGTCCCTCCCCTTGCCTTGGAAGTACTTCCCAGCAGAACACAGTCTGGCTGCATGGCTATGACCCACACAGTGCAGCACAGAACCAGCCCAGCCCCTGCTGCGCTAGAGTGCCAGGAGCCATGGGAAGTCCCACAACATCAGGCTGGGCTGGCTCCATGTCGCCATGTGGTACTCCTGGCACTGTAGCTGGGAGTGGCATGTAGAAGCACAAAGCCAGAGTCCTGTGAGCCCCATGGAGTGAGGCCATCACCAGCAGTCTACCCCTACTCCTCCCCAGCCCCTTCTTACCTAAATTTCTACTCTCTGATGGAGGGAGGGCTGGGGAACAGACACAGGGTTGCCAGGGCAGAAGCCTTTGCTAGGTTGGGGATGGGGTGTGATGGGGCAGGGTGGGGCAGATCAGGTTGGGGTTGGTCATGTGGAAAAAACCTGGATTTTTGCCTTAAAGGAGAAAAACATAGGAAATGGTGGGTTTCCTCTTGCAGGCTGGCAGAGTTCCAGCCTGCAAGGGGCTGGGGGGAGCAGGAGGAGGGTGACCAGGCAGTGGGCACCATGTGTATGTGCAGCCTGGAGAGCAGCTTCCTGCAGGTAAGTCTGGTAGGGGCAAGGGTTGGGGGAACTGAGGCCCATATTACATCTTTACTTTCTGTTTAAAAATGTGAATGATCAAGACTG